TCCCTCCATCTGTGCTTTTCGAGACGTAATTCGTCCATCCCCTGCATCTGGGTGATTGATTAGACGCTAAAGCTTCCGAGTAAGTCTCATGGTCATGCCTTTGCTACATGGACCACGTCTCTTGTAAAACCTACTGTCAGCCAACTAGCTCCAATCGCCTTGTCTATCCTGTCTCTATCCCTAATGCCAATTCTATGACTTGCCATGTCTTAGTCATTTGTGTGCCAACTCACAAATGTTGTGGTACTGCTGGATTTGATTAGGTTCAATGTTGAACCACAACGTTTGTGGGTTGGCACACAAGTCTAAGGTAAGAATGGAACATATAAGCGGTCCATTGGTAAGAAACATACCTTCAAGATTCCTGGAATAGCGAACGCGGTAGCTATACACCTGCGTTGGCTTCACGTTTGGTTCCGGCCAGTCGACATAACTTGGCGGATCCGGATGTCTGACCTGGTCCTGACGGATCATCTCTTTGACGATGGGGTCCAAGTATGCGGCAAACACATAGAAGGCCTCAGGATCCGTGGGTCTCGGCATCAAAGACTCTGGCGAATAGGCATTTCCGCGCACCATATGAGACAGCATACCTTTGTGGGGCGTTATCACTTCACCCAACTCGTTGATAACAATGGAATTCAGATACTTTCGAGCGTACGTGGTGCCCAGACATTTAACACGCATAATCCGCACCACCAGAGCCTCCAGTGACTCGACTGGCATGATTTCCGGGTCTTTTCCGCGCATTGCCAGCCTCAACTCGCGCTCTACTGCGGCCAGGCGACGTACAGCCTCCTCCATGCGCCAGACCATTTCGCTTTCCGTTACGTCCTTCATCGGCTTTGTGTACACTTCGATGCCCGCTGTTTTGTTGTCGGGGGCCAGGGTCAATCCGATCTCAAGGTCGCCGACGCCCAGCACATGCGCCATGTCATCTACTGTGCTGGCCAAAATTTTCTCGATCATGCGAGCCTTTAGACGAGCCCGGATCTGCATTCCCGTGCCCTGACTGACGTCGGTCGCCTGTACAATAGCCCCACCTTTTGCGTCGTGTGCATACGATAGCCCTTCGGATGAGCCCATCTGTAGCATTCCAACGCCACGCACGAACGCTGCTCCCAATTTGCCGTTCTGAGAGCTGACTGTGATTCGGAGGTGATCGGTCCTGTTGACCACGCTGTCAACCACAAGACCTTTGTCTTCGACGCCCCAGCTCAGCGATTGTGAGATGCCCTCTTCACAGCAGTTCAACACCTTGACCTCGGGTGAGAGTGCCTGTGGCTGAAACGTCGCCTGAGATTGGGGCAGAGAGCGAAAGCGATCAGTTCCAGGCACCTGCTGTACCAAAAGGGTGTTCTGTGTCTTGCCAACCTCTGAGATGGAGTGAAGGTCAGGATTCACGTCACCGGACAACTCTTCGAGGCTACCAAAGACCCGAGGTGACACCTCACCTGAGGAGAGTGGTTTCGAAGACCGAGACAGGGGCAGCACCGAATGGAAGGCCTGGTTGACTTTTTCAACAACTTGCTGGGCCTGTGCCGAGTTGAGATCACAAACAGGAGGCACACCCTCCAGATTGCGCACGAAGGACACCTGAGCCTGGCAACAGATCAGGCCTCCATCAGGTTCCGGAGATCTGGAGCTCGGGGTCGCCTTGAATACGTTCAAATCGAGCTGTTCGAGTTTATCCAAATCCCCAAAACTGGGTAGTACAGGGTGCCTCCCAGGTGGTCTGTGAGAAGATTGTGTCGAAGGCACTGCTGTAGCCTCCATAATTGGATTTAACGCAGCCAATTCATTGTTCACTCCGGGGATAAGGTCTACTTCATCTAAGAAACCACTCACCTCGTTTAATTTCCTTTCACATTCTGTGATGCGAGGCTTAGGCAGGATTTGGACGTTAGGAGTTAGGCCGGGACAGGAGTATCTTGATTCCAAGACCTCGACATGCTTTCTTTTCATACAAAGCCCAAACGGCATACTTTCTTTATCGAACCTTCTACTTTGGGCAAACAAAATAAATATGGCGAGCGAGGCTCAAATCAAACGGAACATTGCAGCTTTAGGAGTGGGGTCGGAATGAGGTTAAACATAAAATGAACCCAATTTATTGATCCAAGATTATGTTCAAATTAAAAAGTAAATAACAAAAATCATGACGGTGAAATAAAAAACGAAGCGAAGTAGGTTTGAGCCTCGTGGATGTCAGACATAACTTCATTCTTCGACGCTGCATTAATGTGAGATGTATTCACCCAATTTCGTTGAAGCTGATGAAGGACTGGTAGTAGAAGAATTTTCCCACAATAATACAAGTTGAGCTGACGTTTGCATTGAATTTTCACATAGCCTTACTTTCTCAAAAGTTGTTTTCATCCATGCAGGAGTGGAATACAGCTTCGAACTCGCATCGTTCTTATCAACACCCTCAGCGGGAGTCGAACCGCGACAGTGCCGGATGGGAGCTTGACACGCTAACCACTCGGCTACATTGCCACGAGCGCCTTTTTGGTCACAGGGCAAATGTGAATTTTGAAGGAAGGCCAGGCCCTTTTTTGCCATATCATATTCTTTTGATGGAATTGTCGATGATGTAAACGTATATCTGCTATCACAATCGACTAGAATACTTTATTTTTGGAATTAATTATTGTTATCGTGACTACCAGTAAATCTGTAATATGAGAAGTATTCACCCAATTTCGTTTAAGGTGATGAAGGACTGG